TACCCCAGATGTTCCTAACCAGGAGCTGGCTCTTGCCCATCACCTCCATGTAACACCAAAATATGAAGTCATCTCCAGTCGCAACCTGACTGGAGAAGACCTTTGGAATTCATGTCACCTCCAAACAGCTGCGAAACTTCTAGTATGGAGTCACCCATGGATAGCTACCTGGAGACCAGTACTCTCGATCTGGAAGACCTCCACATCGAGCAGCTCCGACAACGTCGCTACGGTCTAGGACACCATCTTCACCTTACAGAGGGAGCCAAAAGAAAAGTCACTTTTCTTCTCGACATTTAAAGATAAATAACTTACACTTTATTAAACTCTGATTGTATTTACCACCACCAAATTCAACAACACATTGTACACGATCACGAAACTCCTCCACAGCCTTCTGGACGAACGCCATCGAGAGATTCTGCCACGCGACCGTGATTCGGTGCCTGAGTTCAGCGAGATCGTTGATTTCTCCGCCACTGTAGACCACCCTGTTGAGCTCCGCCCAAACCGGTAATCGAGGGGGTTGAGGTCAGGTGACACACTTGGATATTCCGTCTTCTTTAGGTACTCAACTCCCTTCGCTTCCAAGTAGGAGAGTTCTTCGGGCTCCATGTGCTGGCGCCCAGTCCTGTTGCAGTACGAAGTTTCCGCGACGGTACAGGCGACGGCATGAGGGCAGGATATCCTCCTCGAGCTGCTTGATGTAGCAGTCAGCGTCTATCTTCAGTCCAGGTTCCACGAAGAGGATATCGGTCTTGCCATTCCATGAAATCCCTGCCCATACCATCAGCCCGCGCCGGTTGGTCGACTTTGGTGACTGCAGCGTCGGGGCGGAGCTCCTTCTTCTTCAGGGTGGTCCACAAGCGGGTGTTGTTGCTGTCCCGTGCAGGAGAAATCATGAGAGTTTTTCGTCGCTGAACACAATCTTCTTCACGAACTCCTCCTTCAGATTCGGCAGTAGATTGCGGCAGCACTCCAGGCGTTGCTTTCGCTGATCGTCGTTGAGGCTGTGACCTAGAAGGGGTGATTAAAAGGGAATGGAATCCTGACAACCGACCTTGGAAACCGATTTGAATCCCTGGTTCTTCAAAATCCGGCGAACAGACGTGCGGGGGATGTTGGTGTGATCAACGAGCATAGCCACTGTCATGGTCGGCTCCTGGGCGATTATGTCCTGGACCATTGCGACGTTGTCGGGGGCGCTCGATGTCTGAGGTCTTCCAGATCCATGGTTCCGGACTCCAGGTAGCTGACCATGCGTGACTCGGTACAGGAAGTTTCGCAGCTGTCTGAGGGCGACTCGAATTCCATAGGCCTTCTCCAGCTCAGCTGCGATGGCGGATGGCCTCATATTTTGGTACACATAAAGGTGATGAGCGAGTGCTTGCTTCTGCTTATCAAGAAACATCTTATCTATGTCCTGCCCTGGTACTCGTGCCCATGCCCTTTCTCTGGGCTCCGTATTCTTTACTAGTATGTGCCTCGAGCAAAGTGACTTTTCTTTGGCTCCCCCTGTACGGTGAAGATGGTGTCCTAGACCGTAGCGACGTTGTCGGAGCTGCTCGATGTTGGAGGTCTTCCAGATCGAGAGTACTGGTCTCCAGGTAGCTATCCATGGGTGACTCCATACTAGAAGTTTCGCAGCTGTTTGGAGGTGACATGAATTCCAAAGGTCTTCTCCAGTCAGGCTGCGACTGGAGATGACTTCATATTTTGGTGTACATGAAGGTGATGGGCGAGAGCCAGCTCCTGCTTATAGAGGAACATCTTGGGTATCTTCCGCCCTGGTACTCGTATCCACGTCCTCTGTCTGGGCTGCGAAAACTTTGCTGATATGTGACTCGGTCAAAGTGACTTTTTTACGTACATGAAGGTGATGGGCGAGAGCCAGCTCCTGCTTATAGAGGAACATCTTGGGTATCTTCCGCCCTGGTACTCGTATCCACGTCCTCTGTCTGGGCTGCGAAAACTTTGCTGATATGTGACTCGGTCAAAGTGACTTTTTTGCCCCCCCCCCTGTATACCGCGTTGGCGCGTAGTATACGCTGTATTGTTCCTATAGCTCGCTCGGCCATACCGTTCTCACGTGAGTTGTAACCTTTTGTCACGGTATGTGTTATCCCCGAAATCTTTGCAAGCTCTTCCACGACATTATTCAAGAACTCTGACCCTTGGTCTGTGTGCAGCTGCTTCGGCCACCGACCACCCTCACAAATCCACCTTTGAAAAATGACGTGAGCTATTGTGTTAGCGGCCTTATCCTTTATGGCGTACGCTCCCAACCACTTGCTAAAGTGGTCTACCAACAGCAGGACGTACAAATATCCATTAGTACATTACATTTGTGATAACATTCGGAACGCGTACTGCGGCGTTAAACAGCAGTTATCATAACAAAACAGCTTCAAAAATATCCATTAGCACTTAAGCCCATTTCAAGCACGTCAGCACATACACACTCGAATGGTTTGCCTACTAGAAAGGGCTTCAAGGCTGGAGTATTACTCGCTCTGGGGTTGGACAGCAAACACTTTGCGCACCCTTTTACCCAGGTAGTAATGTCTTTCTCCATTGTTGGCCAGAATACTCGCTTCTTCAAGGGTTCTAAAAATTTTCCTAGCCGAAAAATGACCAGCTAAACATCCCTCATGTGCCTCCTCGAACACTTCCTTACGCTTCGACGTTGGCACCACATGAACAGTACTACCGTCCTCCTGAATGAGTTTGAGCTCTCCGTCTTCCAAGACAAAGTCTGCTATTTTGAGTTTCTTTCCGTATCCGGGCAGCCTTACTTCTCTTTCCATTTCGTTGCCTTCCAGATACCGCAATATATTGCCGAAATCTTTGTCACTCTCGAGCTCCTTACGCCATTCGGAGATGGTTTCATCCTCTATTACGCAAACGATCTTGTCCTCGCCAGGATTCCTCAGTTCTTCCGTCGCTCCGTCTATCGGTATGCCTCTTGATAAAGCGTCGGCATTCGCTTTACCTTTGTCATATTCGATGCTTATCTTGTACTCTTGAACTTCCAAAGCCCATCTCAATACTCATGTTCCTACGGAATAAAGCTCAACGGCAGGTGATCAGTTCTCACTACTACCTGCATTCCGTATATAAAATAGAAACTTCCGAAGAGCGAAGACCATTGCGAGGGCTTCTAGGTCTGTGATATGGTAATTTTGTTCTGCACGTGACAATTTCTTTGAGGCGAAGAAGATCGGATGTAAAAACTTGTCTTGGCCTTCTTGAGACAGTACTGCCCCTATACCTTGGTAAGAAGCATCAGTGTATATGATACGGACGCTCTCCCCTCTGAGCTGCCTCCACATCTGGCTGTGCCAACACAGGCGCCTTTATCAGGCAGTCCTTCAAGTGGCGAAAGGCGTCTTCATGTTCATTCTTCCCACGTCCACGTTACCTTTTTACTTGTCAGTTCAAATAAGGGACGGGCAATTTTGGAAAATCCGAGAATAAACTTCCTATAATAACTGCACATTCCTAGGAAAGTCCGAATTTCCGGTAATCCTGTAGGCCTAGGATAGTTCTGAATCTTTTCTACCTTTGCAGGGTCCACTCTCACTCCGTCTCCTGTGTCCTAGACCGTAGCGACGTTGTCGGAGCTGCTCGATGTTGGAGGTCTTCCAGATCGAGAGTACTGGTCTCCAGGTAGCTATCCATGGGTGACTCCATACTAGAAGTTTCGCAGCTGTTTGGAGGTGACATGAATTCCAAAGGTCTTCTCCAGTCAGGCTGCGACTGGAGATGACTTCATATTTTGGTGTACATGAAGGTGATGGGCGAGAGCCAGCTCCTGCTTATAGAGGAACATCTTGGGTATCTTCCGCCCTGGTACTCGTATCCACGTCCTCTGTCTGGGCTGCGAAAACTTTGCTGATATGTGACTCGGTCAAAGTGACTTTTTTTGCCCCCCCCCCCTGTATACCGCGTTGGCGCGTAGTATACGCTGTATTGTTCCTATAGCTCGCTCGGCCATACCCTTCTCACGTGAGTTTTTTTTTGGAGATTGGATCGAAAAACCTGGTTTAGAGAGCAATTGTGAGGTAAGTCAATTATTTACTATGGAAAAATCTGGGCTGGCCAACTCTCTTTGCACCAGGGCCAGGAATTTGTCTGTAACCAATTTTTTCATAAAAAACGCAAATCGTGCTTTCTATAGGATTCAGAATCCTACCTTATATTTTTTTCATTTGTTGTGATTGTCTATATTTGTTGGCAAAGAGTTAAACAGCAAACCAGTCCAAAGTTGAAAGCAAACCAATTCAAGCTCAGCGCTTCTAATACCATTTTCAAAACCTCCAGATGCCGTTCTTTGTTTTCAGTTGCTATGAGGATGTCATCTATATATACAAACACTTCCTTGTCCCGCAGAACACCGAGCACCTTATCCATCAGCCTTTGAAAACGAGAAGGCGATGTGCATAGACCAAACGGCAGTACTTTGAACTGGAATAGTCCTTCTGACGTGGTGAAAGCACTCTTTCTCTTGGCATCGTCCGATAGTGGGATCTGCCAGTATCCCGATGCCATGTCTAAAGTACTGAAACAGCACCTTCCTTTCAAACTTTGAAGAATGACGTCAATTTTCGGGAGCGGATAGGCATCTTGCTTCGTATGTTTGTTTAGTTCTCTATAATCGATGCATAATCTCATGGATCCGTCTTTTTCTTGACAAGAACCACCGGCGATGCCCAGTCCGACTCTGACTCCTCTATAATACCGCGATCCAGTAGTTCTCTAATCATTCCTTTGAACTCGGCACGAGCTCCTATGGGTACGGGCCTAGTCTTCTGTCGAATGGGAGCTGTATTGCCTGTATCGACTTCATGGACTACTAAGTTCTTTGCGCTAATTCACGATCCTCAACCGCGAACACATCGTTGTACTCATCAATCAGCTTCCACAGCTCAGGCTCATCAGATGCTCCAATCTCTCTGTTGCTTCTCAGGTACTCGTTGAGCACTTGTTTCCTCTCCTCAGCTTGCAGTGTCGGTTTCCCTAACACCAGCATATCTGTTGGCACTTCTGTCGCAATTACTTTGGAATACTCGACCTCGTTTTCCTCCCAGGCACCTACTTCTTGACTTACTTTCAGTACTAGGGGCTCTGTCCACACCGGGATTTTTGCCACGCCTACTTCGTCTACAACGCACAGCCCGAACGAATCCACTTGCAGCTAGAATGGAATACGCGTTCTGTATCCCGTGCCCCACCTTTTATTGTTACCCATTTGAGTTCACCTGGGGCTACATAGGCTCTCCTACACACCGTGGCTTTATCTACGCCCCGCACTACGTTTGCCTTCTCTTGCCGATCTTCTCCGTTCGGCAACCGAACTAGCGTATAGTTCAAGGCTTGTAAGGCGTTTGTCCCCAAGACAAGCAGATGGCCCTTTTCTACTGATACGTGCATCTGAAGAATTATCTCTCCTTCGCTGCCTTCCTTTAAAGGGACCTCGACTATTTTCCTAAATTTCATCGGGTTTCCAGATGCATCCAGAATCTTTTTATTCTGGTCGACAGGATATTCCCTCAATCGACGACCTTTACTCTCAATTTGTTGCAATACTTTAAGTGGAAGTATCGAAATTTCAGAACCGGTGTCGAGCAGCGCAGGCCAAACTTTTCCAAAGATGGTCACTTTGGTGGTGGACTTCTCCCCAAATGGTGATACCACCCCTGATTGCTGTCCGGTCATGTCCTTGGTGCACCGAGCGGTACTTGTTTCCACGTCAGTAGCTTTACTTCCAACGTCGTTTCCCTTTTTGCAGTCTCTGGCCATATGTCCTCTGCCCTTACAGTTGAAGCATTGTATCTGGCCCTTTATAGGTCTGACACGAGACTCGGATTGATCCGTGGGCCCCGTCACCTTCTCCCGCATGTCACTGTTCGCTTCCCTACGGTCAGTCTTGCGCAGGGCTGCTCCATCACTGCCACTTCGAAACGACCGCGAATACTTAATATTACGCCGTTTGGTTTCCGTTTCTTGCTCGTGCTGATCCTTGGTACACTCCACCATCAGCTTTCTTCTTTCTACTCGCAAAACCGCTTCTTTCAAATTGTTGTACGCATCTTTACCACTTGTCTCCATGGCTTCCAGAAAATACACTGACTCTGGCCAATGAACGACCTGCTCGTATAGCTGCTGAGCTCTTGCCGTCATTAGCGCTCCCTCATCTAGTTCGGGGTATGCTATCGCTGACAGCCTTTCTAACTGAACGCAGTATTCTGCTACAGACTGCTCGTCGCTTTTTCTCGACCTTCTCAGTTTTCCTAGCGCGACAACCCTGCTAGTCTGTGCCTGTAGGCCTCCGCTAATACCGCTACCAATCCCTCAAAAGGTCCTTGCTTTACTATTTTGGGTAACGCCTCATATCTTACTTTTGCTTGACCACTCAGTTTTGATTTCAGCAAAGTTTTTAACTCTTCGTCAGACCAGTTCTGAGTTCGAATGTTCGAACTTCTGGCAGCGCAACATATTTTAAATACGCTCCTAACTGGTTCTCTACGAGTGAGCTAGACTCCTGGCTGCTACGTCGGCTCAACGCCTCACTACGACGGCTCAACGCCTCACTCACGCAGCTTTCATTCTCACTCACTTCGCCCTCACTCAGCAAAGTTAAGGACTCACCGGGCCTCCTCGGCGTCTTCCCTGAGAATCGCCTGTATTCGCTCGCAGTCAATCTTCTCGATCTTGGCTGCTTGTCTCGCCCAGCCTGAAAATTAAGTTGACTTGAGCTGATTTCCTGCTCAGTCTTCAATGCGTCTACGTCAACGCTAGACGCCTTTTTGTGGGCCTTACCTGGTAGCCGTCCTTTGTGCCGCCTTTATTGGGCTCGTTCTTCTGCGACCTTATCAGGTCCAGTTCCCTTCGTGCCATCTCCAGTTGCCGCTGCAACAATACTACTTCTTTCTAGTAGCTCTATCAGTCTCTTTTTTAAGCTGCGTGCAATTCTCTAGCGCATCGTCACTCGCCTTATGGCTGCCTCTACCGCTAGCTCCTCAACTGCTTCCACTAGTTCTAGCTGGGTAGTACAACCTAAGGATGTCATCAGTTTCTTAAAACCGACCCTCTCCCTTTCATTTTCTGCACACATCTGCTTTAGGTCTCTAAGTTCCTGCTCTACCTCATTAACAGCCGATCTCATGACCCTTTCACAGCTGTCTCTTTTCGTGTCTCCTATTCGCCAACACTTCGCTATTTCAGCGCCAACCAATACTTCTACATTTTTTAGGCTCTTCAAAGCATGATCACAAACCTTTAGCTCGTTCAGCTCTTCTCGGTGGTCCACATCCACGTCATCGACGGCCATGGGCACGTCATTCGACTCCTCTCGTGGATCCAAGTCCACTTCGTCAACAGCCGAGGGCACGTCTGCCATATTTCCGCCCTTCTCTCGAGGCACTCTCTGCAATATGCGCGTCCAATCCTTCGGCCTTCTTTATGTGACGAAATCATAGACGGAGCTGAACTTTAACACGTCGTGTGGTGCCAAGTTCCCCGAGGTTGACAGTCCTGCACTGATGCCAAAAAAATTTGGGCAGCGTTGACCCTTAGGCAAGTGCAGCACTATCAATCCCAGTCGACGGAACCGGGCACCACACTGGTCTCAACAGGATGGACTTTCGTTGGAAAGCCCTCACCTGCTAGCAGTGCGTTAAATTAGCGACCACTCGAGGCAATGCCAAGGGATCGCTAACGGCAGCAAAAGTAACTGATGGGACGACCGAAAAAAGGTAAGTTCAAGCGCCTCGCCTTTTTTCACTTCTGAGTCACGAACGTCGGCTTGGCCCCCGAGTTGAGTACCCTCACTTTTAGGAGTACAAAGTAAACACGGGTGAACCGTTCGTAAAAATTACAGAAGGCACAAAGAAAAGAGTAAATGCTTTACTATACAACCGAAAAAGCAAATACAAAAAATGTGCCCAGTATTAAGGGTAAGGGGGATTAAGAGACACAAAAAAAATCATTCACAGACGGGCGGCCCAATCCTAGCAACAACTGTCTGCTACACACGATTCCGGGGCGCGCTGTGTGTGGTCCGTTGACCTCCCTGAACAGATACATTGGAAAAAAAACGTCGGTAAGTAGACATTCAATTTTACATGGCACACTTTCACTCTACATGGTCTAGTTAATCAACTGCCCGATTAAGGGGTGTCCGGATTGATTTGAAAAGTGCGCGATTACATATGTAAGGTGTACGATTTGGTTCGAAAAGTGTTTGGTCTGGTTTGAAAAGCGTCCGATCTGGTTGGAAAAGTTCCCATTTAAAATGAAAATGATGTAAATCACTTTTTGTGACAACAGTGGCAGATTTAGGAAGAAGTATATTTGCGTTCTCATTTTCACTTCTGTCAATCATAGCTGAACTCAAAAGACATCTTTGACGTTGTGGAAATCCCGAACCGAAAACTCCATACCTCCTGTATCATCAAAACAAAGCAGTCGGAAACCAATCGGCTAGAGAGCCCACTCTTTCGCATTAAAGAAGTATCACCTCTACAGGATTGTTTGATCATACAAGAGACGATGCAGTCTTAGTCAAAGTAATGTAAAAGGGGTCCACAACTTTGCCATAGTATTACAAGCACTGCACCATTCGCGAACTTGGGGCATCCGCTGCTCCAGTGTTGTATGAAACAGCGCTTATTATTCTCTTCACTCATTGGTCAAGTACGACCGCTTCGATGTGCACTAGGCAGCGTTCAGACTTCGCGACGGCAGCGCTTCGGTCGCGCGTTCGACGCGATCGATGCAGTCGAAAGCATGCGCATCGATCGTCGAATCGCGCGACCGAAGCGCTGCCGTTGCGAAGTCTGAACGCTGCCATACGAAACGATTATGTACAGTCTCTCAGTACTCCTGACGATTGAGAGGTCGAATCATGAAAACAAATCGTGAACCATAGCGAGATTGTCAAAACAGCAGTTGATGGGCTGCTGTCTTTCACCATATGACCCCACAGTATTCAGAAACATGCACAAAGGATGACTAGGCCGAAAAGTTACGCAGCTGCTTCGGATTCGCAAACACTGCAGACCTTCTATGGCTTCATTTCCTCAAGACTGTCTAGGCAGTAAAGGGTCGCTTGCCACTACCTAAGTTAGGAATGTTTTGCTTCCTCACTCTTTGCTACGTAAATGTTGATGCGCGCTGTGAGCTGTCTTTTTCGCCGTCCCCGGTTTGCATGATTTTACCCTTTATCCTTCTACTGTATATAGTTTTAATGATTCTTGCAGCTTGCTCTGGAAGAGTCACAACGAGAAGCGGAACGTATGGCGAAAATGGAGCCAAAAACAGTTAATAGCGGTCAGCTTACCCAAAGTGCATTGGACGATTTGTTATCTCTTGGAGTGGGAGAGGTAATTTTGTAAAATATTGTTGAGCCTGAGCTTGTTGCCTAAACAGAGCTAGCATTTGTGAACCAGCGAGACCGCCAAGAGTCACCCGCCGGCTGGAACCTAGGTCACCGCATAGCGGTTTAAACATGTTTTAGCATGCGCCCGCCTACTTCCACTGGGCACAGCGTGACTACCGTCTCGCCTAGTTTTCTCTTATCGCTCTCTTTTATTGAGCAACTACGATTTATCTCATATTCTCGCCTAGTTTTCTCTTATCGCTCTTTTTATTGAATAACTACCTAACTATTGATTTATCTCATGAGTATTCCAGAACCCACCTTTTACGTGTGGTTCCTGCATTTTGTAGTGTTTGTTGGTTGCATGAAAACGGGGTGCCTCATCTATCAGTAAAATGATTCAAGAAAAGCAGTACGTCAATGGCAAAGTGCATGTTGAACATGTACCAACGCTTTGAATGCGTGCCGCCATGACATCTGACACCCCCTTTTCATGACTGAGGAACACATGTGATTTACTAGATTCTTTTTGAAGCTGCGCCTCCTAATTCCTCTGCTGTGATTACAGTGCGCAAGTATTGCCTCATTGATGATATTTGACTTCTGATGAGTCGTATAGCCTTCTCTGAAAGTAATTCAATTACTTGATTATTTGAATAAGTTCTAAAGAACAACGTATGACTCTGGGAGGTTAATCATGCCATATGTGAAGAGATGTACTCCGATATGCGCTAACTAATAAGGTAAACTAAAATCTACTCTCAAAATTACATCGAAACAAGCGAGCCTCTGAACGGAGCTATGCAAGTTTCTTTTCGGGGTTTTTTTTTATAGACACGTTTGGTGCCAGAATGATAAGTTTGCTAAGTATTCACTGCCGAACGTTCGCCGCGTTGAGTCCCTCGTTACGCTGACCAGAGAACGTCAACAGGTCAGTCCGACCACTCCCATCAAAATGCACACCGCTGCACGCGCATAGAGACACTGAGTACAGAACGCAGCTCATGAAATCAGCCGAAGGATTCTCTGCATAGGGTTTCGGCGATCTCTCCCCATCAGACCTTTACACACAGCTTAGTTTAGCAGCGCGTCAAACACGTCAGCGAAGTTAGCATTTGTGGCAGCATGACCTAGTGGTTAGAAAGCTAGTTTTAAATGATTCATATCAGTACATGGGATCGCCTCGCATTTCTTCCTTAGTTTTTTTTGCTATTCGCCATTATTGGCAGTTATCACCGTGGTCACTCCATTGTTGCTCGAACGTATTTTGCTTTTCAATAATTTGAAAAGTGTGAATATCACCCTCTTTATATAACCAGTCGCTTCGCCGGCTGACGCCGGCGCGCCTCCCTCTGCTATGCGGCACGTCTTCGCCGGGCAGGCACGGCTATGCCGCGCTCACGAGCGACGGTAAACGGCGAAATCGCACTTCAGCATCCGGCCTTTGTGAGCGGCGGTCGCGGCGCGGTTTCGGCACTAGGGCATCATGGTCACTATCGTCACCAGCGAGTAACATCTTAAGTTGACTACTATGAACTCAACATGGGAATATCACCACACTATACTCACAAAAGCTGTTGATGATGTGGCGTTTCGCACAAAATTTCCGTTGAATTACAAAATTTCCGTTGAATTATAGGTAAAGTCCTGTAAGGAGGAACAAACGCCTTCTCATCATGTTTAGGCACCTCGCCCATCAAAGTGGGGACATTTCCTCTAAAGTCTACCTGCTTCCTTAACTTTAAGCAATTCTGCGCTCGAAATGGCTTCTTCAAGAGCAGCAGTTGGAAACAGCTTCTGTACACTTCATCATTGTCGCAGCAATTCAAGCAATTTGGCACGTTCATTTTGCGGGTCCTGCAGTTACATGCCACGTTAGAGTGTAACATTTTGTCGGTGATATATACAGTGCGCCTTCAGCAATGCGAAGCATGGGGCACATTTATAAGCAACGCTTCTGACAAAGTACTCTAGCTGGGGAAACGGTTGCAGGTGTACTCTTTGATTTATGCCTTCAACTTTCAACGGGTTGGTTCAGATAATTCCCGGTTGACTCACAAGGGAGGTCGTTCAGGGCGTGGTGCGCTTTTCGAAAACGGTTTTCTGCATATTGTAGGGGCTCATGCAAGGACCTGAAAAGTGCTTCATTTTCGCTGCGCGCTTCCAGGAAAGGTAAAAAACGAGTGAAAAGAAATCTTTGGAATCTGCTTCGTTCTGGGCCTCTATACGGCGTAGGTCACTTGCAACTTTGACCAGTTGCTGAGTGGGGGGTCCTTATAAAGGGGCTATTTGAATCGAAGCGAAAAATCGCCGCAAGTGAGCTTCCAACTTGGGTCATGTGCTCAAGGGTGAACGGCTTCTTGCAATGGTTTCATCAACGATAAGAGCGCTAGCAGAGTCGAGCATCGGATGGCCTAGCGGATAGAGTGGAGGTTTCGCAATCGGACAGTGAGGGTGGGGTTGATGGTTCGGCTCCCCTTGCGTCGCGGCTTTTTGCATTTTTCAGATTTCGCTGTTCTCGCTTCCATTAGTGTCTGCGCATGAATATAACTCGGATATTTGCCATTTATGGGCACATTCTGAGTAGCTGTACCTCATGAGTCAGTGCTATTCAACTATTTCGATTTTCACGCACCATTGAACAAGATTGTTGCTGGACGTTGATCCTCATAGGCTATACAGTGGATCTGATTGCGAATATAGTAACTTGTGTGGTGTCAATTATAGCCAATTTGGGGTCACATCTGCTTTCCACTGGATTTGTTATCTATACCTATACAGGGGACGTTCAGCGCTATTCTGTCGCCAAATTGCGTGGACGCCAAGAATAGGTGTTATATTTGTGATCAGGGCCACTGATTACCACTAAAAACGAATTTTCAGTCAAAACAATTGACCTTCTTGGGTTTGCTTATTGGGTTGTCCGGGGTCCGTAGCGTCAACGATACGCATCGCTGTTACGAAGATGTGAGACTCCGCTCACACTGCCGACCAAATGGTCACCTACAACCCGAAAAAGT